GGCCCACTAGGCCAGAGCTTATCCCGGTTTCTGTAACATGAAGCGACTAGGTGTATTTTTACCCCCGCTGGATGGGATGCTAGTCCATTGCAGGGCTACCCCCAGGATTAAATTCACTGGGCCCATTTGTACACCTGGGTGGAGAGAGGCACTGTCAGAGCAAAGTGTGTTGCCCAAGAACACAACACAATGTCCCTGACCAGGGCTTGAACCTGGACCACTCAATCTGGAGTCGAGCACACTAACCATGAGGCCACTGCGCCTCCACAAAGAAGAAGATCGTAGATTAATTCCGTATTGATTATCCATTAATTTATTTATGACTTGTTAAATTAGTGCTAGAATTTGACTTGTGGACAGGTTGGGGTGGGGGCGTGGGGTGGGACAATGTGAAATTAAAATTGAATGGCCCCTTACTGAGCTTTATTCCTTTTACTCATCAGCTTAGATACACAATCTTCAAGATGACTACAATGTTTGACTACCTTAAAAGAGATGGCAGGAAAGTTTCCACACTGCGTGTAGGATCCCCTAGTGAAGACCTACGGGTCAAGTGTGGTGAGCTCATTCACAAAGCATCACAGGCACTACACACCCCAGAAAATTATGCTGATTTATTTCAGTATGGACCGCACAATGGTAGTTTAGCAGTCAGGAATGAGCTAGCCAAGTTCCTTAGTGAAGAGTATGGCGATAAAGTGGGCTGTGAAGATATCTGGGTCACTGCTGGTGCTTCACAGGGCCTTGCATGCATAGGAAATCTCCTCTTTCAGCCTGGAACTGTGGCTTTTGTTGAAGAACCTACATATTTTATTGGTCTAACAGTGTTGCAAGAGGACTATAGAATGAATGTGATTGGGGTTCCAACTGATCAAGATGGAATGATTATTGATGAGCTTGAGAAAATGATGGCTGAACATTTGTTGACAGCACCAGTCCCAGCTGGTAATAAACCATTTGCTGCTATGTTGTATTGCATCCCTACATTTAACAATCCAACTGGCTCTGTGCTCTCAGCAGAAAGATGTAAACAACTGATTAAACTGCTCCGACGGTACAACGTGCTGGCCTTTTGTGATGATGTCTACAACTTGCTTTCTTACATGGGTGACAGGCCACCATTTCAATCGCCACCGAGGCTCTTCTCATTTGACGACAAGACTGATCCTGATTACAAGGGTCATGTGATTTCAAATGGAACTTTCTCAAAAATACTGGGGCCTGGTTTGCGCCTTGGATGGATGGAAGTACCTGAACATGTAGGAAGGATTTTGCATACAACCGGCTATGCAAAGAGCGGAGGATGTTTCAACCATTACACATCTTGTATTGTTAGCACTGCCATTCAAATGGGTTTGGTAAAGGAGCACTTAGCTTATGTTCGGGAGGTTTATTATTCTCGACTTAATTCACTTTGTAATGCCCTGGATGAATACATTCCTTGTTCAGTTACGTACACAAAACCCCGGGGAGGTTACTTTGTGTGGGTAGTTTTTCCTTCTGAAGTGGACTGCGACAAAGTCTATGATGTATGTTTGAATAAATATAGTGTTGACTTCAACAAGGGCTCAGGTTTTTCTTCTAAAAGGCAATATAAGAACTGCATGAGACTCAGTTTTGCATTCCATGATGGTCCTACAATTGAGCACTGTGTGAAGCAAATAGCTTTAGCAGTCAAAGAATGTTTTACTGCATGAGAATTATTAACACTTTAATGTACTTGCAGGGTCAGTATAATTCCTTAATATGCATTCATATTGTCTGAGATGATTAGATCCTTTCTTCTCAAAATCTGGCACCTTTAATTTGTTATAAAAAGGTTAAGAAACAATAAAAATTGACTGCTTCGGGAAGTAAGTATAAATAAATTTTGAATCAATATCCATTGCTACACGATCAGAATTTACATGTACATTTTTTATTATTTTAAAGTTTTAGAAATTATATTGTCTCCGAGGTTATATTCCAATGTCAAATGAGATTTTGAGATATTGCGGAAGAAAACTTGTATTTATGTGATATAATTTTTGGATTTTATCATGCTAAATATGAATATTTTCTCCGGGATGTCTACTTCTTAAATATATTAGTCAGCTGGTTGACTTTATCAAGAACAAAACTGGAGGCCATCTCAAGTGGCAAATGGTGTCCATTAGTTAAATTGAATTTTCTGTCAGAAATGTTACTGTTTGAATAAACCCATTCAGTAAAGAATATTTAGGTGATGTTTCAAAAAAAAAAAAATCTTGCTATACCTTGTACATGCAATTGATAATAATAATTTATTAATACTTAGCCACATTAGCTTTAACTGGTCTTCATGCATGCATGATCGAATCAGAATTTGGGGTGCTTATTTACTTTTGTTACTTCAAGGGAGGGCAGTTATTCAGGACAGGGCGCTTATACAGGACAGGGCACTTATTCAGGACAGGGTGCTTATTCAGGACAGGGCACTTATCCAGGACAGGGTGCTTATTCAGGACAGGGTACTTATTCAGGACAGGGTGCTTATTCAGGACAGGGCACTTATTCAGGACAGGGTGCTTATTCAGGGCAGGGCACTTATTCAGGACAGTGTGCTTTAATTTTAAAGAAGAGATCATTCATCCTCATATTGCTCTGTTACTTCTGACAGTATTCATATGTTGGTGGTTTGTTTTGTTTTGTTTTTTTAAGAGAGATTGACAATGCTATAATTGAACAAATAATCACTGCCATTTTAACCAGAACCTGTATCACTCAGAAACAAAAAATAGGTGGGCAATTTGTACGCATGTCGGCTTAGTGTCTGGTGGTTAAATTTTGGCAGCTTAAGGGAGGGGAGGGGAAGGTGTTTATTGGAAACAGACTATTTTATAGGGACAAGATGCTCATTTCATTTCTTATTTCATTTCATTTCTTATTTCATTTCTTATTTCATTTCATTTCGTATTTATACTAATACTAATAGACATTAGTAGAATTCTACTAGTATACTAATGCAAATGCTGTTATCTGACTGGCTGAGCATTGAACACTATCAGCCATTAGTGAGCAGTTGCTGGAGGTCGTCTAGGAAATGGCGACGTTTTTTTTCGTTTTTCCAAAGTTTTGGAGGAAAATTTTGATGCAAATGGATAATTAAATTCCTGACAAGTCTAAACGAAGGACATTTACGGTTTCTTGACTTTTAAAAAAGTTGAAATTATTGAAAAAAACGGATGCGCGCGCGCACACAACTCAATTTTAAATGACAATTAATAATAATACGTCAAGAAATAATTGGAAACCTTATTTGAAGTAAATTTTAGTGAGAATTCTACTAAAACAGTTAGATTATTCGCTCTCAATTTCTATGAGGTGATAGTTGATACGGCCTTCGGCCTCATCAACTATCACCTCATAGAAATCTCGAGTTCATAATCTAATTGTTAATTAGACATTAGACATTAGGAATTAAAAATATATATATAAAGCTGACGAATGTTGGACTAGTGGGTCTACTTTGGATGAATCAACATCAACATTGTGTTGGGGGTGGGGAGGGGGAGGTGGACAGAAAGACCATATGTTGGCAAAAGTGCGAAGTCGATAGATAATTCTATTTAAAGCTTAATTAAAAAACAGTATTTGAAGCTCACGTCGAAACGCCTTTTTTTATTCCCCTTCTCATTTGCTTGAAGAGTAAGAACAAAACGAATGTCGTGAAAAGATTTGACACAGTCACTTTCATCGCCTGAAAGACTTAGTCCACAACCAAACTTTGGCAGGTTATCTCTCGTTGAAAACCAAGCAAGGGTATCGATCGCAACCGAGTAAAGTTATCGGTCCCAACTCCTTAGTAAGGTTTATATGTGCTAACATTCGAGTCGAAAGATCAAGTGGCCTTCATTGTGGTTTATATAATTTCTCCCGAGGTAAATTGTGGTATCTCATAATTTCAGATAATGCCTAACTAAATAATGGGGGTATGCGGCCCGCTTCCCAAAACCCTTACCCTATTTATGACCAAAATCTGCGATATTTCCTACCATATTTATGACCTGACCAAAAATTCGAAACCCTATTTATGACCTGACCTTTAAATCAAAACCCTGTTTCAGACCTGCGTTATATTTAGTTCCCTAGTTCACACCAATGTTAAATTACCGTAAACATAATTTGTGAAGGGTTTTTGTTGATTTTCTTCTCGATAATGATGAAAAAGTGGCTTCCTCTGTAAAAAATACCCCTATCAAGGCTAGAGTGCAAAAACCATACCTTGTTTATGACCAAAATGGCCAAAAATCAGCTAAAATCGATACCCTATTTATGACCAAAACAGCTGAAAAAGCATACCCTTTGGGCCGCGCATACTTATATAGCCCATATAAGGGAGTACCCCCTCCCCCCCGCGGGCGGTTAAACTAGTAATAGTTTAGCCGCCCGCGCTGTACGACTATGGTTTCTTGTATTTTCTCATGTTTTATTCTCTCGTTATTGATTTCTTTGTTTTAATAGTGTTTTTAGCTTTGTCATATCGCTCATGTTTTAAATTTTCTCGCCCTAGGTGATAAAAACAACTCCTTGCGCGGGTCAGGACATGGGCACAGGTGAAGGGCCGGATGATCCCGTGAGATAAAAATAACCTAGCTACCTCGCTTACAATATTGGCTCAGTGGCCCTCACTGTATCGTATCCAGCGAAGATCGTGAATTTAATTCTCCAGTTTGGACGTCGCTTGAGATAACTAAGGTAAGAAACCCCTCTGATTTAAACAACTCGGCATTCGTACAGCATTAGAATTTCAAAACTCGTTTTCTACGTATTCATAATGACTTCTTTCAATCATATGCAGCCATATGCGAATCGACAAGACCGCCTCTTTTGCATGCTTTTGCCTCCAGTGAAGTGCAAATGAATGTTACAGACGAACAGCACGTTGCCGGCGAAATGTCTTAGCCGGGCGCTTGTACATTGGCTGTTCATGATCAAAGTATTTACGAGTCGCGATCGTCAGTCTTTCAAGTATACGTTGTGTTAAAGCCGGCAACAGGCTCAGCCCCGGGGGAGGGGGTACTTCCTTATATGGGCTATACAGATATGTGCGGCCCAAAAGGGTATGCTTTTTCAGCCGTTTTGGTCATAAATAGGGTATTAATTTTAGCTGATTTTCGCCATTTTGGTCATGAATAAGGTATGGTTTTTGCACTCTAGCCTTGATATGGGTATGTTTATAAGAAGAGCCACTTTTTCATCGTTATCGAAAAGGAAATCAGCAAAAGCCCTTCACAAATTATGTTTACGGTTATTTATATAATTAACATTGGTCTGAACTAGGGAACTAATTGTAACTCAGGTCTGAAACAGGGTTTGATTTAAGGGTCAGGTCATAAATAGGGTTTCGAATTTTGGTCAGGTCATAAATAGGGTAGGGAATATCGCAGATTTTGGTCATAAATACGGTAAGGTTTTTGGGAAGCGGGTCGCACACCCCCACCCATTTTTTTCTGGGAGAACCCCCCGGGGGGGCTTACCTTCGCGTTAATCAGACCGAAACGAGCGTTTTTCGGGCTAGGCTCGATTTCCGGCTCTCTCTGGAGTTCGGGCAGAATGTGGCGCTCTTTAGGCCAAACCGTGCGATTAACCGACGTTCTCTCAATTCTTACGCGATCCCTTATTTTCTCAAAGGGCCCGTTGGCGTGCAAGAAATGAGGTGCCCGAGAAATTTTGTAGTGTATTCCCACAAGGGACCAATTGTATGACGCTCTAAAGGGGTTTGAGTAATGATTTGCAATTCGATCCGTTGAATTTGATCGAAAACTCAGAAAGCTACCGCTGTTTTTCGTTTAAAAGGCTACAATAAGGTAGAGACCTTTACCAGGAATCCTTTTTTTGTCGTTCTAGTACTGTTGTAGTCCTGGTGTAGGCATTTGGGGGTCTTTGAGCGATTTTTTTTTCTATACACGCGTACACGCGTTCTAAAAATAGACTTGTTAATAGTTTACACAAAGGTGACCCCGCTCTGAAGAATATTTTGCAAATGACCCGGCCTTTGCGAGGCTCATTGCTTAGGCCGACCTTGCCAGCGTTGGTCCTTGGTCAGAACAAAGGGCCAGTTCGTCTGTTTGTGTTTTGTTTTCCAGATCTTAGCTTTGAGCGTTAGAGTAGATATTGATTTCAAACAGATTTCGTGTCGTGTCTTCCAGGGTGCGATGACCTTTCTCCTTTGTCTTCCCGCCAAGAATATTCAACATTTCGCGAATATTTAATACTGTTCGTCCGATTTGTTAGTGGTTTTCACTGATTATTCAAAGTTGTTTTAACTGTTCATTCAAGCACAGGTTTTAACTGTACTTCTTTAATCAACTTCAAGTCGCGGACGCCCACACAGCCCAACCTGTTCTTTCACAGGGAGCCCATACAAGCGGCGTGTCTGTTTTTATGTTCGAAATATAAAGAAATGTATGGGAATATTAAAGTGTCTTAATATCGTAAACTGATATCGAGTAATGTCCATGTTAAAGCTCAAAATAAACGTAAATCTACCTCAGTTGTTGTTTATTGTCGTTTCTGCGGCTCAAAATGGCGAATTTGAGCGATTTGGTCGGTTTTGCGTTGACTGTTACTACACGTTATAAGGAGACAAGGGTGGAAAGCTCGTTTTCGACCGCTCCAGCGCCAAGCCGATTTTCCCCCAGAAATTAGAATCGCCTGGCTTCCAAATCGAATACCAGATAAACTGAAAGGTTGACGCTTCTTCTCGTGGTATTCCATCGAAGATCCATTCAAAATCCAAATGCCAACCGCCAAATAATTTTCGAGAAACGCAGCTTCCGAAGCGACCAGCATCCACGGCCGAAATTTCGTGTGCCAAGGAGCAACAGTCAAGCTGTTTGCTCCACGCTGGTTGGATGATGTTCTATTCAGTAGCTGCATACCAAGAAAGGGAAGCACACCATTGCTCCCTGAACCCATGGTGAATTTTACTGAGGAGTGGCAGTTGTTAAGAACCTGAAAAAAAGTCAGGTAGTCCCTGATGTTGTATCTGACATTATGGTTAATGTGTCATCAACATGTCTCTTGTAGAATAAAGGCATTTTACCTTCACGCTCAAGAGTTTCTTCATTTGACCCCATGAAAAATAAAAATAAAATCCTCCCAAAAAATTGCGCTTTCGCTTACCATATTTCATTAGTGTAGAGCATGGTATAATGACTAAGCCAATGAAAACCCTTGAATGGCATTATCTAATGATCCAGTTTTAATAAAACTAGATATCCGGTAAGCACTGTGCAAAATGCTTGGAATATATTCTGTTTATTAAATTCTCATCATTGGATAGTGCATTTGTAGCCATCTGATTGATTTACGAAATCTGGGTTAGCAGCCATTACAACTGTTTGACCTTATATGGAAATTAGTGCTTTCCCGACATGCTTCAATCAACTCAAAAAGTGAACAACGCGCGAAAATATTCCCGCGTTTCCCACCATCACTTCGTTTAAATCAAACTGTAATGTCCACATTATCCAGTTGATTCAAATTATTTCATTCGCTCTTGCTGGAAACGAGTTGTTTTTGACAAAATTCGCTGATACGCGCCTCGTTAGTTTATTTAAGCAATAGACCACACGTTTTTATGGTTTATAGGCTGATAAACCACGCGGGATGTTAGAAGAAGACGAGAAGAATTGGTAAATCACGAGCCGCAGGCGAGCGATTTACGAATTCTTCGAGAATAGGTTTTATTTAAATTGTAACAATGTTTGTAGAGGGCCACAAACTCATTAGTTTTTTAACTATTAAGTTTCACCTCTTTAAATAAAGTTTGATTGACTGATTGATTGATTGATTGATTGATTGATTGATTGATTGTTTGTGGTCTATTGCTTTTATATAATAATTCAGAAGACACGCGAAATTTCCATGAGTTACTGGCACAATAAACCATAGCTGCTTGACCAATCAGAGCGCGCACATTGATTTGATTATTATATAACACTTCATATCTAACGCGGGTTCATGGAATAATTCTGTAATATATTTTTTTATGACAGGACTTGATGCTAACCATGTTTTCAACTCAACATGACTATCTGGATAATGGACCAGAGAAAATTCACAGCTTAAAAGTCGGAATGCCTAACACTCGCTTGCAGCAGAAATGTGCTGAACTTGTTCACAAAGCATCGCTTTCACTTCACAAATTAGATCAGAGCGGGTATGCATTAAGATATGGACCAGAACCAGGCTCGGAGATATTCCAGCGAGAAGTAGCCAAGTTCCTTACAGAGCAGTATGGGGACACTGTGAATCATGAAGACGTGTGGGGAAATGCTGGTGCCTCACAAGGCCTTGCATTCATGGGAAGCGCTCTCTTTCAATCAGGGGATGTGGTGTTTGCCGAGGAGCCAATGTACTACCATAGTCTAGGCATCCTGAGAGTTGACCTGAAAATGAAAGTCATTGGCGTTCCATCTGATAAAGATGGAATAATTATTGAGGAGCTTGAAAAGCTGCTGATGGAGTATTCTAATGAGCTGCCGCGACCGACAAAGAAGAAGCCGTTCTCTGCTATGCTGTATTGTGTGCCCACATACAACAACCCAACTGGCTCCTCTCTTCCAGTAGAGAGATGCAGGAAGGTTATTGCATTGCTCCGAAAGTATAACTTGCTAGCTTTTTGCGATGATGTCTACAATTTGTTATCATACACAGATGACAAGCCGCCCCCTCAAAGGCTGTTTGCGTTTGACGACAAGTCTAATGCTGATTACAAAGGAAATGTCATTTCCAATGGTTCTTTTTCAAAATTCCTTGCCCCGGGGTTGCGTCTTGGGTGGATGGAACTCCCTGAACGAGTGCGCATGCTCTTGAACACAAGTTCTTACTCCAAAGGTGGTGGGTGTTTTAACAACTATACCTCGTGTATTATCGCTGTGGCCTTGCGAGAGGGCTTGGTTAAGGATCATTTGTTGATGGTTCGAAAAGTTTTCCACTCCCAACGTAACGCATTGTGTGATGCCCTTGTCAAGTATATCCCTGGGAAATGTTCCTATCAAAAACCCGAAGGGGGTTATTTTGTGTGGGTTACTCTTCCTTCAGAAGTCGACTGTGAAAAATTGTATGAAATTTGTCGCAAAAAGTATTTTGTAGAGTTCAACTACGGCTCAAGGTTTGCTGCTAGTGTTGGAAAGTTTACAAATTGCATGCGATTGAGTTTTTCATTTAATGAATGTGATATAATTGAACATTGTGTGAAACAAATAGCACTGGCCTTGAAAGAACTTCTGAATCATGCTTAATGGTTGAGGTGACTGCTTTAGTTTCTTAGTCAATATACATACCATTGTTATTGGTTAGATCAATTTCGGTGGCTTGGTAGCACGCAACCAGTCTTAAACTTAAATTGCCGGTACAATTGAATTTCATCGTTAGAAATTAAAACAAAATCCCATAGGAAAGCGAGCAATGTCAGTTTTTAGAGGACAAAAACCTTGTACCAGAATGATTTTAAGTATATTAGGGTCCTTTTTGCAGTTTTCTAAAAGCTAAAGCCGGATATAAATAGTTGCCTGAAATAACACCGAAAACAATTTCCCATGTAAACTCAACAATTCAGAGAAATTTCATCATCAGTTTGATTTCATCAGTAATTTCAAGTGTTTCATATAGAGCTCAAAATCTGTTTTCGACATTTGGTGTTGTTCGGAATTATTTCTTTTGAGAAGATATTTAAAACAGTCGCATAGAAGTTTTGAATACGATGTAAATAATCTTGGTACAAAGTTTTTGTCCACTTGTTACCCAAACCTCAGGTGAATTCCGTCTTAAGCGGAAAAATGTATAATGGTGAAGTGTGAAAATTAAAAAAAAATAATAGATCGATGAATCATATACTGTTGTATCTATTTCGGATATAAATGCTCAGTTATAAAAAGCTGGTAGCAATATTTTCATTCTTTCGGTTTCATACGGAACTAAGTTCAAAGGGATGAAGATTTTAATTTTATCTTACAATCGTATCGCAAAAATCTATGTTCGCCCGGATTGCTACTCGAAACATTTGGTCCTTTTAATAATTCAAAACAGTTGTTCAAGCCATGGCAAAAGGTCATAACAAACATGGCGGAGCAAGACAAGAAAAAACCTCGTGCTCACGACAACGAACTGCACGCACGACGATTACATCAAAATACTTCGGAAAAGCGATTACATAGCAAAATCTTCGGAACAATCTATAAGTATTTTCGGAATTTGTACTTCAAAACTTTCCTTTTATTTATCTGTTTGTTTATTCTTATACACAGCCCAACAAGCTGTTGAAGCTTTACATTTTACTGTGTATAATAAAGTTGATTGATTCAGTGATTTAGATAACTTTTTCTGCGATTACAGACATTCTATTTGCGAGCTTGTTTCAGTATATTTTATCTTCTTACAGTATTTACCGAGATTCAAAGAGATGGAGTGTGTATATTATTTTAACCCAAATAGTTTTGAAACGTAAAATTATGTTCAACAATATTCCTCAATCACTGACCCGAATAGTCTGTTACCTGAAGCAAAGCAAGTCACTAGTTTATCTTCTTTTCGTAGCGCTGTATCTTCAACACTTTGTTAAAACTCTTTCATTAGATTTCGAGGTTCCGTTTCCTTGATTCATTATAGTAAAATTGTAGACGGTGATCTTCGCCTAAAAGTTTTTTAGCCTGCGAACAGGCTCCCGCGGCCGGCGAGCGCGAACGAAGCCACCCAGCAGCATATACCGTTAGTGAAATAAAGATTTATTATAACGCCTACCTGAAAAAGCTACCCAGACAAGCTTATTCAACAAATACATGCGCTTTAATTCCAGAATTTTTGCACTATAGAGCTCAGTTTAGGAACACGGCTTCTTTTAATTCCATACACGAGAGTGGCAGTAGACTGTTCACAGCCCTCTGTTTTCTCGTATTTTTATTTCGATCGTTGAACGTTCGGATAGAATCGCGAGAGAGCTGGACGCGAGCGCGAAACCATGCACCATAAGTGCCCTGACTTGCACCTCACCCGCGCGTGCTTCGGGCTCGCTTTTTCTTCCGCGTGCGACGTGCGCAAACAGAGAGGCTGTAAACAGTCTAGAGTGGCAGAAATCAAGCGTAGCCTGAAGTAACCATAACAGGTCTATGATGGGATTTTCTTCTCTGTTATTTTTGAGGGAAGAAGGCGATGGTAAAGGTAAGTTAATATATCTGTCTGTTTAGTGAAAGGGAAATGTATTTAATGACGCTGAAGACTGATAACTCTTGCATTATTGTATAATAACTTTATTCACTCGTACATTTACAGGTTTTATATCAGTGAAATGTAAATACAGAGAAAAGAAAGTGTACGATATGTAGTCTCCAGTTATTATGTTTCTGTGGAGATTTAAGAGAAAAAAGGGAATACGGGTCAGTTATTTTACAGAAATCAGCCCGACAAATTTGCAATATAGTTGTGCGTGAATTTCGAATCTTGTAAGTTTCGTTGGTAGTTCATGATACTCCTTATAAAGTCTTCATATGAAACTTTTACGAGAATATTTCTTCTACATGATTTGGATCCCAGCGCATGTCCGCCAGTGGGTTCAGAATCTCCATTAATCAGGGATGCAAATCTCGCAGCGAGTTTGGACATCACTGGCCTATTTGTTGTTCCTGTGTAAAAATAAAAATAACAGTTCTCTGAACTCTTCAATTACGTTCTTGGTTTCATTGAATGGGTATTGTTGCGCCGGTTTCTCTGCTCGGCCAAACAGCATGAGAAGAACGTCATTGCTGGAAGTCAACGCCGACACCGAGGTAGAGTATTGACCAGCGAGACCATCGATAAATCCTGTAGTTCGTTTCTGTTCCCTTTGGAGTGCCTTGAGGACCACATCTGTGTTGTGTACTCGACTGAAAAAAGAATGTGATTATAGCAAGCACCTTCCTTGGTCTTCCTGACGCGGCCAAAGAAAATGCATGCATTACGGACCTATATGTAGATCGACATTCCCCGCTCGTCTTCGAGAAGTAACTTCACGCCCGGGACTTCACGAGGTGCTCGACACGCAATATACCAGGTACGTGAAATGTGTCAAAGATGAGTACACTCGAGGTCTTTATTACTTATTATAAACATGATAAAAGATTATGGATGAAAACCCGAGGGAGAAATGCTCGAGTGTTTACTTAAATCTGCGGAAGCCGAGGAGAGTTTGGCCTCGACCTCAGACTCGGATTTTTGCTATGTTTTTTATTTATTTTTTACAATTTAATGGCAGATTTACAAAACGACAAACAAACAAAAAATAAGCCGTAAGTATAATTTGTAAAAGAGTTGCGTGACCGGCCATATAAAAACAAATCACCTCATAAAATTATAAAAATTACAATAATCTCGCTAAAACTGTAATAATATTGGACCATGAGATAGAGAGATGACATTGGTCTCTAAGGTCCAACTAAGTGATATATATAATAGTGCCAGAGCTTATCCCAGTTACCATAGCATGTAGGGAACAGGAGAGGTTTTGCTGCCCCCATTGATGGGGTGCTAGTCCAAAAAATTAGGGAGTTTTGGCAAACCAAGATGGCGGCGGCAAAGGGAACGTCACCAAACAAAAGGTTTAATGAGCAATGGTTCTACACGTGCGTTTTGAGTGTTTGTACATTTCTTTGCCGTCCTCTGCAAAACAACAACGTGAAATGACAAAGTCGTACGTATTTTGGAGAACGTGTACCGCAATGGCTAATTTTTCGTGTCTTTCTTTGGAATTGAACGCTGTCGTTACATAGTTAGCCCGAGCAGCTTTTTAGACCAATAGGCGTACTGAACAGATCTACACAGTTGTAACGTTCGAGGGTAAAATATAAATACTTTTTTACAAGGCATCATCCTCGGTTTCGCCATTGTCATTGCTAAAACTCCTTATTAAGAAGAGTAATTCAGTGGTATTTATACTATACCTTACATGCTCAAACCTGAGTTGTTGCTAAGCATAAGGTCCCTGCATGTCCCCTACCCCTCCACCCCCAACCCTAATAAATTACCTTAATCAATCTAAGTCATGCTTAACATGCTTTAGGTTTGCCAATTATGTNCTCTGATTTATATACCCTATCCCAGAGTAAACTGCTTGAAAACCATACCCTTCACAGTGGCACATACCTATATAGCCCATATATGGCAGTGCCTCCCCCAGGGAAATTGTTCAGATTCTTCAGAAATATATAGAAAGCCCAGAAAGAGGACTTTAAGGAGTTCTAATCAGCTTGTGCCTTCAGCACCCATCGTTTCAGAAATCAGTCACCATTTTTTCTAGATCCAGTTGCCAGCTAACATTTATCCAGAACTCTGATGAATCAGGATGTTTGCATGATATCTTTGGATGCAAATAATATTTGTTTTGCCAGGACTTACTACTCACATCCCATGATCACAAGTCAACTGTTTTTACAATGTGTAGCTGCAGAAAATATCCATATCCACCCCAAGGAAGGTTAATGTAAATTCCAGTTGGGGGGGGGGNATTTAAAGGAAAGTTAATGAAGCTAAAGTGGAATTTCCAGAAGAGTGCAGTGGGGAGTTCAAGCTAAAAATTAAACCCTCTGTGGAAGGGGTATGGATCTAAATAACAATATTTACAACCAATTAATAGCCTGTATTTTCTGATGATAGAAATTCAAGGCTCCAACATGTTTTCAACTCAAGCAGATTATATGGAAAGTGGACCGCAGAAAATTTACAGTTTGAAAGCAGGGGCCCCTAGCACACGCTTACGGCAGAAGTGTGCTGACCTGGTTCAGAAAGCAACACTTTCACTTCACAAATTAGATCAATGCCCGGATGCCTTCATGTATGGCGCAGATCCAGGTCCTGCAGTATTCCGACAAGAGGTAGCCAAGTTCCTTACTGAGCAGTATGGGGACCCTGTGAATCATGAAGACCTGTGGGCAAATGCTGGTTCCTCACAAGGCCTTGCATTGATAGGAAGTTTCCTCTTTCAACCTGGGGATGTGGTGTTTGCAGAAGAACCAGGATATTATATTGGTCTCCGGGCCTTGAGGGATGATCTTGCAATGAAAGTTATTGGCATTCCATCTGATAATGATGGAATAATTGTTGAGGAGCTTGAAAAGCTAATTATGGAACATTCTGACAAACTGCGGCCACCAACAGAGAAAAAGCCATACTCTGCCATGCTGTATTGTGTTCCCACATTCAACAACCCAACTGGCTCTTTTCTTCCAGTAGAGAGATGCAAGAAGGTTATTGAGTTGCTCCGAAAACACAACATCCTTGCTTTTTGCGATGATGTCTACAATTTATTATCATACACAGATGACAAGCCACCCCCTCAGAGGCTGTTTGCATTTGATGACAAGTCTAATGCTGATTACAAAGGAAATGTCATTTCCAATGGTTCTTTTTCAAAATTCCTTGCCCCGGGGTTGCGTCTTGGGTGGATGGAGGTCCCTGAACGTGTGCGGAAAGTGTTGAAAACAAGTGCCTATGCCAGTAGTGGTGGGTGTTTTAACCACTACATTTCATGCATTGTCGCAGTTGCACTGCAAGAGGGCTTGGTTAAAGATCATTTGTTGATGGTTCGAAAAGTTTACTACTCCCAACTTAATGCATTGTGTGATGCCCTTAATAAGTACATACCTGGTCAATTTTCTTATGAAAAGCCCAAAGGGGGTTATTTTGTGTGGGTTACTTTTCCTCCAGAAGTCGACTGTGACAAATTGTATCAACTCTGTCGGAAAAAGTATTTTGTAGAGTTCAACAATGGCTCAAGGTTTGCCACTAGTTCTGGAAAGTTTAAGAACTGTGCGCGATTGAGTTTTGCATTTAATGAATGTGATATAATTGAACATTGTGTGAAACAAGTAGCACTGGCTTTGAAGGAACTTCTTAATGGTTAAAGTGAATTTTTTTTTTTATTATTGTCAAGGACTACATACATGAATCATTTAGTGGAAATACAAATTGTAAGGTATCTTGCTAGTATATATATATATATATATCTGTGAGATAACATTAATATGTTAATTAACATACAAATCATTTATGCATGTTGGAATGTCCTTTCCCTGTAAATTTAAAATGCAACTTGACCCTGTAATTGTTAAGTAAGTATAATATCATTTGCAAAATAGATTTATTTAACCCTTTGAATACCAACTACAAATATATGCATAATTTATGGTCATGCTCTTTGTACCACTTGTGATGTCATCAATTTAAATGTCATCAGATATTCTTGAGAAGCAGATAGTAGTATTAGGCTAGGCCTTTCCGCACAATGGTCAGCTTTAGATATCAACAACATTCCGACGTCGCAAATCAAAAAACGTTATCAGTTTTGGTGCAAAAACAGTGGTAAAATGGTCCACTAAGCCTATGATTGATCAAGGTCCATTTCTAGGCTTCGCCCATAGTTAACATCCAACTTTTCACAGCAGCCAGAAAGAACATACAACACAAAAGGTAGCCAGTGTAAAAGGGCCGAGAAAAACAGAAAGGAAAGGGGCAACAAACAAAATTGAGAATGGTTAATGGCAAAAAAAGAAAAAAAAGAAAGAAGTCCAAATTTTGGCTTATGCGCATGCCCGGAATTGAAATTTTGCTCTTGAAATTTTGTACCTAATCCTCAAAAAATCTCTCCTTTTAGTAAAAAAAAGCTTTCTTAGCAAAACTTAGGCTTATTTAGTGTCATGGCAGCCAAAAATCCTGACTAAGCGGTTAAAAACGGTATTTTTTGGCAAAAGTTTGGTATTCAAAGGGTTAATAAATTATGATTAAAAAATTGTTTATTTTATCTAGTCATCTTATCATGTCTGAAGTATAGAGATATTATACAGCCAGGTAGCAACAACAGTACAAGCTTGGCCTCAGGGCTACGTTCTAAGTTTTTGTGGTTTAAAACCAAGCAGTTTATACTGGGGCAGATATAGGGTGTGGGGCGGGGGAGTAAAACGGCTAATGTCATAGAACGTGTAAAAATATTAATAAATACATTCAATCCTTGATGGAATGAAAAAAATGAGACATTATAACTCATAGACTTGCCACAAGTCGACTGCAAAAATGTGAAAACGAGCGAGTCTCAAATTTTCCTGGCGAAGATGCTCTTAGACCCCCCCAAAGGGGACCACCCTCTGGACAATATGACTCATCATTTGTTTTGCCACCAGTTCAGGTCCTCTGAAGCAAAGAGTATCATATGCTATGATCTAAGTGGAGGGGGCATTCATGATGGTGTTCTGGTTAGTGTACTGGACTCTGTATTGAGCAGTCCAGGTTGAAGCCCTGGCTGGGGACATTGTGTTGTGTTCTTGCATGAGATACTTTACTCTTTGAAAGTGAAGGATGATCATCGCAGTAAATTTTCCAATTTAAGCAATTGGAAAGAAGAAGCCTGAAAAAATCAGGGCTTCAACAGGATT